ATGCTATTAGTTTTAACTAAGAAAAATTCTGGTTTTGCAGTTATAGCTGAGTGATTGAGTGAGTGAGTATGGTTTAACGCCACTTTTAGCAATATTCCAGCAATATCACGGCGGGGGACACCAGAAATGGGCTTCACACATTGTACCCATGTCGGGAATCGAACCCGGGTCTTCGGTGTGACAAGCGAACGCTTTAACCACTAGGTTACCCGACCGCACCTCAGTTATAGCTGAAAAAATACCTGCACCAAATACCAGAGCCTCCCTCCCAGCAAACCAAATGGTCAGTCTCTAACATTAGTCCATTAAACCTCTTATTACACAATAGTTTTATCTGTACTAACTTATTTTCTTCAAATGTTGATGTCATGGCTGGAATTGCCTAGTTTTATACTCTAGAATGGTTTTGAAAACAATAAACGCAGCTTTTTCGCAGTCTTGATGCACAACTGAATGTAGTGTCACTAGGTTTTCATGTATCACATCAATGAAAAAACAATAATTTTACAGTTTATTTCCAAACCAAATACCAAATGTCTATTAGTACATTTACCTTAAACACTTCACATAAAATAAATATAAATTTCATGTAGCCAATCTTTTACACTGTTATACAGAATTGGTGCACTGTCTCCTGTTTAGTGTTGGTATTGTATTAACGTTATGAACATGTAATCATCTTACCTCACTGGCTTGAGTAAGTGAGTGAGTATGAGTTTTAAGCTGCTTTTGGAAGTATTCCAGCAATATCACGGCAGGAGACACCAGAAATGGGCTTCAAACATTATACCCATGTGGGGAATCGAACCCCCAAGACTCCAATCTGTTATGATAAATTACAATTCACTGACTCCCCACCATAGCTTCCTGTAGGAAGTGATGTCACCACCTCTATCGCTTCAATCGCAAACTCAAGGTCAAGGTCGTGAAAGTAGTATCTATTCTAATGATGATCATAAATTCAAAATAATCACTAATTCTTGCACAATCATCAGGTGATATGTACTTCATGTATGTGATGCCTCATTCTGCAAACTGTGAGTTTATAAAACAACAGATACCAACGTCAGTCTCAACTTCATCCAACACAACACGGGAAAACAAATGGAATTCTTCAACAAATATCTTAAACAGAAAACACACAACAATTCTTTAAAACTGACATCCTTTTCCCCAAACAATGATCTTCAAACCATCCTCAAACTTCATCCTCAAAAAACACTCAAAAAACACTACATGAGATGAAAGAAAGAGGGTCAATGTTTGTTGTTGTTGTTTAATGCTGCACTCAGCAATATTCCAGCTATATGACGGGTACCTGGGTAGTATATTTGGACTCGTCCCAGCCCTACCGTTTAGTGAATCGGGGCTCTGGTACAGAACAGAATATAAACCATGTACAGGAGCCACTGTCTACTGTCTACATGATATGTACTATAACGAGCTGATGAGTGATAGAGGTCCGACTTCTAGTCAACATCTGCATACAGAAACAATGACAGAACTTGAGCAAACCTTAGTGAACGGAGTACACACTCCATGTCATGTACAGCAAGTTTAAGGTGAGTGTATTCAACAAATGAAAGCAGATTCAGAGAACTCAGACCAACAAAGTAATCCTGTCACATGTCGTACCCCTTAACATTACAGCAGCCGGAGCACGACCCCTGTCGTGTGTCCAATACATTACCAAAGACTTATCACAGTTACCATGGTTACAAACGTCGTCGCTCCAATAATGCTACCCTGTCTTAGAGAACCAACCCAGCTTAACGTACTTACAACGCCAGAATTTTTTTTGGGGGGGGGGGGTCAGATTTTGGGCCCAAAAATTTAGGCCAGTACATTTTTTAAATTTTCTCTCGCAAGTCATAATTCGTTGTGTTTTGATGTTTTTAAAATAAATTATCAACTGATTTTAATCATGGTATTTTATATAATTTACTTATAGAGAAAAAGATTTTTATTTTAAATATTTTGATTATTTCTGGTCTTTGGAATAAAAAACCCTGCTTTTCATTTTTCAAATTTGTTTCAACTTTTAATTTTCAGGAGTCGGTGGATTCGTAAACCTACTTTTAAAAAAAGTCTGGCCTATGGGTACAACTGCATATCTGAAATGCTACTCTAGACCGAACTAGCATCTGTTAATATCATCCCATCACAGCAGGCTCTACATCCGTCCTATATCACCAATGTTTCACCCCACAATCATTGATTATCATGTCATCCCTCATTAAATCACCAACAATCCAAACTCAACATAGATAAGAAAACTTAGGCTAAAAAACTAATAGACATAGTTCTCAGGCACCATCCTCATCATCATAAAGTCTGCCGCACGTTTTGTTTTCATTTTCATCTTAAATTTTTTTTTTCAAAATCCTAATACTTAAAATCAAATTTATCGAATATAGCGCGCAGTTACTTCCCTTTACATGCGCATTGCTTTACTGTGCGGGGCAGTAATAGGAGTTGGTATGCTTGTTTGTGTCGGGATGCTATTTCCCCGGTTGATGGTTCACAACTGTTTGTTTGGTTACATACTACCGTACTCGATGTAATAAGCACCCCGGGCGCTCTCAAAATTGGAAATTGGGGGCTTTTACTAGAATATTATTTTGGTGAAAATAACTGAGTTGAAAAATAAATATCGTTATTTATGCTGAAATATTTATGTACGAGAGATTTTTCCATACTTCAATTACCCATAATTAAGGGTGCATATAACACATGAGTGCTTATTATACGCAAATAAATAAGTCTTGTGTACATTGATCAATCGGAAGGGGTGCTAATTGGGATTGTTTGCTAACCAATATCTTAGCTAATGTCACCGTGGGCGCTTATTAGAGCGGGGCGCTTATTACGTCAAATACGGTAGTTTCAACAAGCAAACAAACAAAAACAACCGCCCACCCGCACTATATTTTCAAAAGTCATTGCCTGAGAACCAATTCTTTTATTTTTTTAACCTTACAAACAATCTCAACCCTTCCCACAAATATAAAAAGCATTGATCTAAATCAGATTCGGTTTCCTTCTATCAGCATTTCCAGAACTATTGTAAGAAGTTTTCAAGAGAATGAAACATGAACAACTGTCATTCGACTGAAGACTCTTCCCCTAACAACTAACAGATATCAGGGGAAACTAAAATGTACATCGCGATGGTTACAGACATGTCAGAGAGGACAATATTCACATGAATCTGGGAGAGTGTGGATATATAAATAATGGAAAAAAATAAACACTGGTAAACGTCACTGGAACCAGACAGGGATTCAATAATTCAATGAAGCATTTGGGCCCAACGAAATGAATTCTTGTTTTCAAGAAGAAAAAGTATCGTACTTACCCATGCACAATACGCACCCTAATTATGAGCAATTAGTGAGTGAGTGAGTTGGGTTTAAGCCGCTTTTAACAGTATTCCATTTATATCATGGCGTGTCAGCTTAATCATGTTAATGTGTGAGGAAAGCCCGAAGTGATGCAGGTCTCAGACGTTTACCACTTCGGTGAAACCCACGAGCACGGGTATGGTGCTGACAAACCTAGAAACATAATGGGAGCGAACCTGGATTCAAACCCACAATCATAGGTTTCTGGTGTGCCCAAGGGACGCAACTCTGCATACCGAATCACGGCGCTTTAGACGACTGGGTTACCCGGCTCCCTACAAGCAGTTAAACTGTGGGAAAAATTATCTCTCGTGTATAATACGCACTTTTCTTTCTGTATCAATTTATTTCACATGAAAAATTATTTCCATTTGTGTTGTTTTCCTTTATTTACATCACATGCTATCATTGACGCCATTCAGAGAGCTATTGACACGGTCACTTTGATGTATAAATAAATGTCGACATGCATCTCACTTTTGCAGTTGTTGCATATAATTGTGCAAAACAATATGTAAAGCACCAATATGTTCTGATTTCAGCTTTTGTAAAAAACATGAGAAAAACGGTCACATGATATGCAAATTAGCCTGTGGCAGTGGAGTTATACGAAGTTATGTTACTTCTAAAAACGGCAATTAATTAAAAACCAGATGTAATTTTAAGATCTCTGCATATACTTTTTTCAGAAAATGTTTATGAATTAAGTTCAGGTAGGAAGTTGTATTTTCATTCAAAAGCTGGAAACATCGATTTAAGTAAAGGTAAGTGTTGTGATTTATGCTTATACATCAGTGGAATTAACTACCGGTGATGTCCTGTCACACCATTCCTTGTATGGTCGCACGCTTGGCTGGGGAAAGTGAGGTAACATTTGGTTCTCGTGAACAATACGCACCCCTAATTTTGGTGTTGACAAATTATGAAAAAAAGTGCGTATTATACACAAATAAATACCAAGGTGTTTGTGAAAAAGGTATAATCATATTTGACGTAATAAGCGCCCAGGACGCTCTCAAAATTAGAAATAGGGGGCTCTTATTAGAATGAGTTATTATTTTGAGTTGAAAGATCATAAATTTCGTGGTTTATGCTGACAGCCTGAAATGTTTATATACGACAGATAAATTTTTCCAGAATTCAATTGCCCATAATTGGGTGCATATAACACACGAGTGCGTATTATACACAAATAAATAAGTCTTGTGTACATAGATCAATCGGAAGGGGTGTTAATTGAGATTGTTAACTAGCCAATATATAAGCAAATATCGCTGTGGTCGCTAATTGGAGCGGGGCGCTTATTACGTCAAATACGGTACAATAAAATGTTGACTGAATTTGAGGAAGGTGGTTGACAAGGAGTTCGTTCATTTTTAATAGAAAAAAGATGGTTGAAGCTCACAGGAAACTTGAAACAAAACTCAGTTCATAGTGAACGGTAGATAATATTAATATATTCCACTTCTACACAACAATTTAGGTCTTGTCTAAAAGATTTTGAAATGTCAAAAATGTAGGAGTCAAATTGACAAAAAATATATTGACATCAACTTAATGATATTGAAACAAATTTTTAAGGTAACCCTATTTTTAAAACTAATGAAATTGGGTCCAGTACCTGAAAAAAGGTCTCCAAAATTTATAAAAAATGCTTCTCACCTAAGTGGAATACGACGTAGTTTTGGACTACGAATACTCCCCCCCCCAAATTCTCCGAAATACTGCATCCTCTATGGATGTGTGCATTATGCTTGGATGCACACTATAGTCAAGGAAATACAGTACACACAAGGCTTGTAGGAACAAGCTGTTGATAGGTTCAAACTGTTCAAGGAAAATCAATATTGAAGTAGTGGGAACTCCTGAGCAACTAAGATTCATTTCACTGTCATGAATGCAACATGACCCTGTCACCACTCGAAACCTCGGATACGCTCCTTTCACTCACAGACACTCTAAATATGTAACACAGCACTTGATTGGTTCATGGTATTCTTGGATCACCTCTGTGTGGTTTTCATTGGATGATGCGTCCAGCAGTCTCCCGGGCTGTCATTGGTCAGCTCCACTTGGGGTCGTACTGACTCCAGTTCGGGGGAGGTGAAAGGAAGACCCTCCTACCCTTATACATAAAGCTGATGACGCCTCTATAAGCTGCTCGAGGTACACCAGCCTGCAACATGAAGGGGTGAGTGAGTGAGTGAGTGAGTGAGTGAGTGAGTGAGTGAGTGAGTGAGTGAGTGAGTGAGTGAGTGAGTGAGTGAGTGAGTGAGCGAGCGAGCGAGCGAGTGAGGTGAGGTGAAATTTGGTTTAACATCGCGTCCAAGATTATTGCACTTACATAGCGACGTGCATGTATGTGTGTGTGTTTGTGTGGCTGCTTGTACTAGTCCGGACTGATGCCGATTTATAGTGCTAGCTCACTGAGATACCATGCCGCAGTTTAACATGAATACTCCACTCAGACACAGTATACTGACTCCGAGCCGACCAGTCCTTGTTTTAGCCCCTTAATGCCGATCGGCAGGCAGGGTAACAACAACTATCTTTCAACATCTTTTGGTACAATATGGTCAGGGGTCATTGTAGTTAATTTAATCTGGGCCAGAAAACGAACAATGTATTTCCCTGAATCCCATAGAAACAAATTATAAGCAAAATCTAAAAAGAAAAAGTCAAAAAAATGTATCCAAACATCTGTGAACAAAACCACAACAGCAATTTATTCACAATTGTGAAGAGTGAGTGAGTGAGTATGGTTTTTCGCTGCTTTTAGCAATATTCCAGCAATATCACGGCGGAGGACACCAGAAATGGGCTTCACACATTGTACCCATGTCAGGAATCGAACCCGGGGCTTCGGCGTGACGAGCGAACGCTTTAACCACTAGGCTACCCGACCGCCCCCACAATTGTGAAGAGATATTCACAGATGAGTTTACAATGTTAATGAGTTTGAACACAAAAAAATATTTTATACTGACCTTGAAATCATCCATGATTCCAAGTTTTTTGGCGAGACTTTTGAATTCATCTTTCGTGTTGTACTGTACCCTGACTGTCCCGTAATCACTCTTGCTCTGACTGACGACCTCGGCCACGGACAACAGCGGGGACTCGTACACATGCTTTACAAACTCAGTGTCATAACGCTCCTGTCACAAAGATAACAATAATAATTATAAGACCATTTTGATCATGGTGCCATTTCGTTCAGCAAGTGGATGTTCATGAACCTACATTACTACTATCCCTGTCAGAACCCATCCTTACAGACCGCCGTCATATAGCTGGAATATTGCTGAGCGCGGCGTTAAACAACGAACAAACAAACAAACAGTATCCATCCATGCATCCATCCATCCATCCACCTACTAAAAAGTCAAGAAGCGACCCTGAAATATTGTGTTTGTACAACACAAACTTTCTAAATACCCATAAAATTTGTTTGTTTGTTTGTTTGTTTGTTGTTTAACATCGCACTCTGCCATATTCCAGCTACATGACGGTGATCTGTAAATAATTGAGTCTGAACCAGACAATCCAGTGATTACTGTCATGAGCATAGATGTACGCAATTGGAATACAATGACATGCATCAACCAAGTCAGCGAGCCTGACACCCAATCCCGTTAATCGCCTCTTACGACAAGCATAGTCATCTTTTACAGCAAGGATGGGTTGCTGAAGACTTATTCTACCCAGGATCTTCTCGGGTTTAAAGACAGATTGAAATTTCGGTACATGGTACAATTCTACTTTAAAATACACTGCCGAGCAAAGAAAGTATAGATATGAAACCTATACACCCGTGTTTCATGGTGGTTAAAATGAAACAAACAACAAATGGTTATTAAAGCAGAGTCGCCTTTTACAAATACAAATGCCCGCGAAGACAGCAGCCAGAGATTCACGTACCTTCTCCAGATATGAAAGATCTAGTTGTGTGAAAGGCACATACTTCTGGTTTAACTTGATGAACTTTAAATGTTTCTCATAATATAACCCCCTGAAACAGAATAAACCAACGTTTAACAAGCAGTGCACATGACAATAACCAGGTCAGGTGAAATGGGCTATTATATGAGTAGCGGAACCACAACAGAATAAAGCACTGAGCAAACTCGGGGGTTGATTCGCAGTGGAATGAAAAAATGAAATCTAAAGTTTTCTAATCACCTTTTATTACCCCACAATTATATTTTTATATACAAAACACTTTAAAAAACCACTACGCGAATAAAGTAGCATTTCCTTTTCTAAATCAGTCCCAATATGACTGAAGGTTAAACTAAACCCAACGATGTCAAGCTGGCTATGACGATCATCGCCTGTTTAATGACATCTAGCCACCACTATGGTTGATTAATCAACATGCTTTTATAATGAACATTCAGGAAAAGCACATGCAATTCAGTGTTCTCCCCGAAGCTGAATGCGTTTGAGACAGTTCATTTTCCGAAAACAAATATAACAAACAGTCAAACAGTTTTCCTGAACGTTCCTCCGATACTCTGAAATCATGTGCACCTCACACGTCAATCCGCGAAGTAAAGGACATTGCTGTATTTTGGCTACACAACCGACAATCCACGAACAGTTCTTAAGTCCAGGGGTCATTGTCTATTGTTACCAATTCTTTAGAAGGGTCAACGTACTGGGCCTTGAAGACCCACTTGAAACAGTGAATAACGTTGATTTTTTTTATCCACTCTGCACATCTTTGGTTTTGTTACACTAACTGATGCCACGATTCATTAAACATGAGTCATAGTCTTGCTGGGAAACGAAAGTGGTAAATATATAACAAGGTGGATGGTGTACTCACTTGCTGACCCCCTTCTTGCCAAACGTACTTGTCCTACAGATCTCGGGGCGTATACACTCCCGGCCCTTCCGCTGCTCTGGGTGCCGCATCCAGTCATCCCAGAACCTGGAAGTACATGTCATCCAACATGTCATCCAACTCACGTGTCACCCTGACTCACGTGTCATCCTTACTCACATGTCGACCTAACACACATTTCGCCTTGACTCACATATCACCCGACTCACATGTCACACAACTCACATGTCACACAACTCACATGTCACCCGACTAACACGTCATCCCGACCCACATGTCACCCTGACTCACGTGTCACCCTTACTCACACGTCATTCAACTCAGGTGTCATCTGACTCATATGTCATCCTGACTCACATGTCATCTGACTCATATGTCACCCTGACTCACACGTAATCTGACTCACATGCCATCCTGACTCACATGTCATCTGACTCACACGCCATCCTGACTCACATGTCATCTGACTCACATGTCATCTGACTCACATGTCATCTGACTCACATGCCATCTGACTCACATGTCATCTGACTCACACGTAATCTGACTCACATGTCATCCTGAATCACGTCATCCTGACTCACATGTCATCTGACTCACATGCCATCTGACTCACATGTCATCTGACTCACACGTAATCTGACTCACACGTCATCCTGAATCACACGTCATCCTGACTCACATGTCATCTGACTCACATGTCATCTGACTCACATGCCATCCTGACTCACATGTCATCTGACTCACACGTAATCTGACTCACACGTCATCCTGAATCACATGTCATCCTGACTCACATGTCATCTGACTCACGTGTCACCCTTACTCACACGTCATCCAACTCAGGTGTCATCTGGCTCATATGTCACCCTGACTCACACGTAATCTGACTCACATGTCATCCTGAACCACATGTCACCCTGACTCACATGTCACCCTGACTCACGTGTCACCCTTACTCACACGTCATTCAACTCAGGTGTCATCTGACTCATATGTCATCCCGACCCACATGTCACCCTGACTCATATGTCACCCTGACTCACACGTAATCTGACTCACATGTCATCCTGAATCACATGTCACCCTGACTCACATGTCATCTGACTCACATGCCATCCTGACTCACATGTCATCTGACTCACACGTAATCTGACTCACACGTCATCCTGAATCACATGTCACCCTGACTCACATGTCATCTGACTCACATGTCATCTGACTCATATGTCATCCTGACTCACATGTCATCTGACTCATATGTCACCCTGACTCACACGTAATCTGACTCACACGTCATCCTGAATCACGTCACCCTGACTCACATGTCATCTGACTCACATGCCATCTGACTCACATGTCATCTGACTCACACGTAATCTGACTCACACGTCATCCTGAATCACACGTCATCCTGACTCACATGTCATCTGACTCACATGTCATCTGACTCACATGCCATCCTGACTCACATGTCATCTGACTCACACGTAATCTGACTCACACGTCATCCTGAATCACATGTCATCCTGACTCACATGTCATCTGACTCATATGTCACCCTGACTCACACGTAATCTGACTAACACGTCATCCCGACCCACATGTCACCCTGACTCACGTGTCACCCTTACTCACACGTCATCCAACTCAGGTGTCATCTGGCTCATATGTCACCCTGACTCACACGTAATCTGACTCACATGTCATCCTGAACCACATGTCACCCTGACTCACATGTCACCCTGACTCACGTGTCACCCTTACTCACACGTCATTCAACTCAGGTGTCATCTGACTCATATGTCATCCCGACCCACATGTCACCCTGACTCATATGTTACCCTGACTCACACGTAATCTGACTCACATGTCATCCTGAATCACATGTCACCCTGACTCACATGTCATCTGACTCACATGCCATCCTGACTCACATGTCATCTGACTCACACGTAATCTGACTCACACGTCATCCTGAATCACATGGCACCCTGACTCACATGTCATCTGACTCACATGTCATCTGACTCATATGTCATCCTGACTCACATGTCATCTGACTCATATGTCACCCTGACTCACACGTAATCTGACTCACACGTCATCCTGAATCACGTCACCCTGACTCACATGTCATCTGACTCACATGCCATCCTGACTCACATGTCATCTGACTCACACGTAATCTGACTCACACGTCATCCTGAATCACATGGCACCCTGACTCACATGTCATCTGACTCACATGTCATCTGACTCATATGTCATCCTGACTCACATGTCATCTGACTCATATGTCACCCTGACTCACACGTAATCTGACTCACACGTCATCCTGACTCACATGTCATCTGACTCACATGCCATCCTGACTCACATGTCATCTGACTCACATGTAATCTGACTCACATGTCATCCTGACTCACACGTAATCTGACTCACACGTCATCCTGAATCACATGTCATCCTGAATCACGTGTCATCTGACTCACGTGTCATCTGACTCACATGTCATCTGACTCACATTTCATCCGACTCAGATTTCATCCAACTCACGTGTCACCCTGACTCACGTGTCATCCAACTCACATGTCATCCAACTCACATGTCATCCAACTCACATGTCATCCAACTCACATGTCACCCGACTAACACGTCATCCCGACTCATACGTCACCAGACTAACATGTTACCCCGACTCACGTGTCTGGCCACTTGGGCTCCAGCTCCAGCCAGGTGGCTCGCTCGATCATCCAGCCCAGGCCGGGGAAGAAGTCTGTCCTGTACAGCAGCTCTGCCAACACAAGGATCAGGCTACAGAACAATGTCCATGACATGAAGTCAGCAATAAATAGATTACACATCTAGATAAACGTATGTCATGAACTGTTTAACATTCATTGAGAAACTATCCTAAAACGTGAAGAATTATTTCCATTTGAGCATTGATACTCCAAGTCCAGTCATCGAAGCCCGACAGACAGTTAGTGATATACGGCCACTTTGACGTGTAACGCTACAATGTCATGCTCCTCACTGTCACAGGTGTAGTATACGTATCTAATTTGTTTGTTTAACGCCGCACTCAGCAACATTCCAGCTATATGACGGCGGTCTGTAAATAATCAAGTCTGGACCAGACAATCCTGTGATTGACATCATGAACATCGATTCACGACATTGGGATCGATGCAATGCATCTACCAAGTGTACCTAATTATGCAACACAATATGTTAAGCACACCAAGGCTTGCATTAGGCATGTCTGTTCTAATTTCAGAATAAGTGCACTTGTTTACAAACAAGAGGAAAGTCCGGTCACGTGACAAGCCACCACCCACGTTGTCATCATTGCAGCAGAAACGGAATAAGACGAGCACAGATGAGTAAGATCTATTGTTTACAAACAAAGCGTCAGAATGGTTGACGTCCTGTCCCTTTAAGGAGGGATCCGGGGATCCTTGGAGTCTCCTGTGGTACGTATGTGAATCTAGGGAGCACTAGGTTTGTAACTTTTGACATAAAGGTCATGACATGGACCCTTAGACTTTCATGCATAATTTTCAACACTGAACGGTTTTGTTTTTGTGGCCACACTTAATTCCACAGAGCTCCAGATAAGCTGCGTATCTGCGTAAAATACGCATCAGATGTACAGAAATACGCAGTAAGATAAAATCCAAGCATATCAAATACGCAACGAACATTACAGATACGCTACAAAAATAAAACTTGTGCGTATCATCAGAATATTGTGAAGTAACCCTGTGTATTCGATCAGCAAATCAGAAACTTATTTTGAAATTATAAACGGGCATTAGGTCAACCTTGCCAAACTCCACGATGACAGTTACATCATGATCATTTGCCATCACACTCTTGTGGAAGTATCGTGGTATTTTTGAGTCCTACAAAGCTCTCGAACCCACACGACACAAGTTTGCAGGGACTAGATGAATAGTGTTTTTAAATATTTAACTTTAATACCCACATGTGTAAAAACTAGTTGGTAACAGAAATTTGAATACCCAGATAGAATTACTTATACCCAATGATTTTAAAATGCATGGGTAACGTACCCACAACACCCAAAGCTTATCTGGAGATCTGTTCCAAAGGGCACGACAAGACACCTTTATGAGTGCCCTGTGGCACACTGGAAAGAGAACACGTCTCCCTGAAGTTCTATTTACCCATCCACCTACCGGAGTTCTCAGAAACCATGTTCTCCTTGCCGTTGTCGTTCCAGGCAGACACGCACCACAACATAGGGTCAGTCTTCATCACACGGTGCGTCGCAGCAAAGTATTCAAAGAAATCTGGTGATATGTCTAAATCGTCTGCAATGAAACAAAGGTGAGTGAGTGAGTGAGTGAGTTGGGTTTAACACAATATTTGAACAGTTTTCCAGTTCTATCACGGTGTGTCAGCTTAACATGCAGGAAAGCGCGAAGTGACGCAGGCCTTAGACGTTTACCATTTTGTGAAACCCATGAATACAGGTACAGTGCTGACAAACCTAGAAACAATCGGGAAGCCAATGGAACAAGAAGACAAATGTCTCTGAACTGTTTCATGTGATTTCTTCAGGAATCTCACTTACATGCACTTCAACCTTGTTACCATGGTTACATGAAGTCCTTGAGAATAGCAACATATACATCTTGAAAAAAGCTGTTTCTTTATGTTCTGAATTTCTGTGTATCTTTTGGCAATATCGACAGAGGGCATTGATCTCATTTTGACAGATGTCTACTTTCATATGATGTCTAGTGTTATTGATACGCTAAACATAACATAGCAGAGTTTTACGTCCACTGGAGGAAAGATGTTTCAGGAAAGATGTAACACTAGAAAAGCGAGGGGATCATTAAGTAATTGAATGAATGCTGAAACGACAACCTGACAGACGACTGGAGGGACAGGCGATGCACCACGACATAAAGTCACTTGACTGTCACTGAGGCTGCTAAAACTCAGCCACTGTGTTGAGGTAATTAGTATTTATTACATCTATACTGATAGCTTCAGTAACAGATTACAGATTACAGATAACAGATTACAGATTACAGATTACAGATAACAGATTACAGATTACAGATTACAGATTACAGATTCAATGCAATGCATGGCTGTCAAACAAAGACAGTGTTAGAATGACTTATGCTGGCTGTGTGCTCTGTCAGCTGATAACTTTTTGTTTGTTTGTTTGTTTGTTTGTTTGTTTAACGCAGTACTCAGCAATATTCCAGCTATATGATGGCGGTCTGTAAGTAATCAAGTCTGGACCAGACAATCCAGTGATTGACAACATGAGCATCGATCTATGCAATTTGGATACGATGACATGCATCAACCAAGTCAGCGAATGTGACCACCCGATCCCGTTAGTCGCCTTTTACAGAAAGCATGGGTTGCTGAAGACCTATTCTACCCCAGGTCTTCACGAGACGAGCTGATAATTGGAAACCCCACCTCATCACTTCAACCACGGGGGCCACAACATCACCGACAGAGGATCTTACCTTCTACAATGATGGCTGTGGAATAGTTGAAGACCGTAAATATCTGGTTTAAAGCCCACTTGTAATGGCGGGCTATTTTATAGTAGCCAACAAACTTCTTCTGTGGCCAGGGAAGGTTGATGTTGGCTAAATTAGGTTGCTGAAACAAATACAGCTCTTTAGCATCACAAAAGATTGACAGTGTTAGTGTTTGCTTATTTGTTGTTTTACGCCGCACTCAGCAATATTCCAGCTATATGACGGTGGTCTGTAAATAATCAAGTCTGGACCAGACAATCCAGTGATTGACATCATGAGCATTGATCCACGTAATTGGGATCTATGACATGCATAAACCAAGTCAGCAAGCCTGACCACCCGATCCCGTTAGTCGCCTCTTACAACAAGCGTAGTCGCCTTTTATAACAAGCATGGGTTGCTGAAGACCTATTCTACCCCGCATCTTTATGAGTGGACAGTGAGCGACAAAAATAAACCTGTGAAGTACAGACGATGGGATGTGACTCGCTTACTTTGACATGTTTGACAAGTTGTTTCTTGACATATCCATCTATGACATCCGCCGTCTGTTGGTGGCCGCAGTCCTGACTGACCACGATCGGGAACTTGTCACCAGGTGGACGATATCTACAACGAGTGAGTGAGTGAGTGAGTATGGTTTTATGCCGCTTTTAGCAAAGTCGCACACAAGTCCTTGAAGTACCGTCCTGCATTGATGAGTTGACCAGTTATCACCGCAGGGATACAAATTTGAGATTTGTATAAGTATATTTATCAGGCTCTGAGATAACAAAACAAGCCTTAAAACATGTTAAACTGGAATATTTTTCCTCTTTTGGGGTTGCCAGATGTGTAACCATGGTAATAAAGCACAAAACATATCCTGGTTCCTCACTTTATGAGCTGGTCGAGACTGCGGCTAACAGTCACCCGGTCACACGCGATCATCAGGATGGCGATCTGGTTCGGGTGAGCCTCATCCTTGTTATCTCTTACAGGAACATTTTTTCTCTGGTCTGAAAGGCGAAAAAAACAACCTATTCTTTGTTTGTTGTCTAACACCGCACTCCAGCTACATGACGGCGGTCCGTAAATAATCAAGTCTGGACCAGACAATTCTGTGATTGACACATGACTCAAAAGTGATTTTTCTGTCACATTGTTATCTCCCCTGTACCCATGACTACAAAATGGCAGCGTCTGACCATGCTGACTTTGACAAGAGGGGAAATCATAGGTTTGGCACCACTTTGGTCTAAATAGCTCGCAATATATTGCAAGACATATCACAATACGGATATCCCAATATATCGCAATACCTATCACAATACAGATATCCCAAAATATTTCAATACACATCACAAGACGGATATCTCAGTAGATCACACTACGTATCACAATATATCACAATATATCGCAATACGCATCACAATACGGATATTGCAATATATTGCAATATGTATCACAATATATCGCAATACGCATCCCAATACAGATATCACAGTATATCGCAATACGCATCACTACGGATATCGCAATACGTATATATGTTTCACGATAAAGATATCGTAATATACATACCAATATATATAGCAATACAGATATCCCAATATATCACAATACAGATATCGCAATACAATGTTTTGGCCAATCCAGCCTTACCAGCGAGGCAGTCTGGACCCGCCCCGCCATGGATTGAGAGCAGGATTGAGGCTACATGAAGCTGGGGCAGCAATCAGCAAGGTCACTGAGTGTGACCCCCCTGTGAGACAAAAGCCAAAAGCGATCCACAAGGATTTATCTCGGATCTCAAATAAAGCGCCCTAGGCAGGCAAACTGGGAAGACAAATATCATTTATTTTTCCATAATTTAGATTTAATCATATTTTTTTAATGAAACACAGAGTATTTTAATATTGCATTACATGAAATGATGTAAATCTTAGATAGAAGCAAATACCATCACTGGTCCTGCTGACAGTGACATACAAGCCACCTCTACAAAGTGGTAATGTTATTTCCTATGTTGGTATGTTTACTGATAAGTGTTGAAGACTTGGGGCTGAATATCGGCTTCAGAAGGGGTCTAGATAGATCCCCGGATTCAGGTCTTAAATGTTTACCACTATGGGGAAACCCACAAGCTTGTGTACAGTGATGACAAAACTAGAAATATGCTACTCAAAACTAGCTGAAGAACCCCCACAATTGGATGACTGTGAGGTGAGGTGAAACAGGGTTTAATGCCGTGTCCAAGATTATTGCACTTATATAGCGACATGCATGCATGTGTGTGTGTGGCTGTTTGTACTAGTCCGGACTGATGCCGATTTATAGTGCAAGCCCACTGAGATACCATGCCGCAGTTTAACATGGATACCCGACTCAGACACAGTAGACTGACTCCGAGCCGACCAGTCCTTGTTTTAGCCCCTTAATGCTCAATGCCGCAATATAACACGAATACCCCACTCAGGCACAGTAGACTGACTCCGAGCCGACCAGTCCTTGTTTTAGCCCCTTAATGCTCAATGCCGCAATATAACACGAATACCCCACTCAGACACAGTAGACTGACTCCGAGCCGACCAGTCCTTGTTTTAGCCCCTAAATGCTCAATGCCGCAGTATAACACGAATACCCCACTCAGACACAGTATACTGACTCAGAGCCGACCAGTCCTTGTTTTAGCCCCTTAATGCCAAGAGCCAGACAGGGTAACAACAAGTACCATCTTTTAACGGCTTTTGGTTAACGCAGCTGGGATCGAACCCTGGACCTTCCGTTCTCCGGGTGGACGCTCTACCACCAGACGACGGTGCGGTCTGGATGATTGCAATACCCACCAGCCTGGACAGATTAACTATAGTCATTTAAAGAAAATACCCGTGCCCCAGGCACTTCGAACAGTGTAATACATCCTCTGTGCCCTAACCTGCCTCCTCCTTGAGATGGCGAAGCTTTTGAAGTAGCTCCTCATTTTCCGCAAGCTGACTTGATAAGTCCTTCTCAAGTTTACCAAGCCGTGATTCTAAAGCTTCTTTTCCTTGAACATCAGTGACCTGAAACAGAGACCAAGGTCATAAGGTGAAGGTCAACACTATGAGTCAAGGCCATAAGGTGAAGGTCAAGGTCATAACTAAGTTAAGGTCAAAGTCTCTTAATGGTCACTAATACAGTGTAAAAAGGGTTGAGTCAACTAACTACAAACAGCGAGTGAGTGAGTGAGTGAGTGTGGTTTTACGCCGCTTTTAACAGTATTCCAGTAATATCGCGGCGTGTCAGCTTAATGTTGGAGGAAAGCCCGAAGTGAGGCAGGGTATGGTGCTGACAAACCTAGAAACATAATCGGGGCGAACCAGGATTCGAACCCACAATCATAGGTTTCTGGCGTGCCCAAGGGACGCAACTCTGCACAGCGCATCGCGGCGCCTTAGATGACTGGGCCACCCGTGCCCCCAACTACAAACAGGAAAAATACATTTACTATTTCTGAATAGCAACAAGCATGGCATCATATGAGTCCATTATAATATTCCAGTCCCTCATTCCATCTGTGCTAATCTCTTGGTTGGTTGGTTGGTTGGTTTGTTGTTTAACATGTTTAATGCCGCACTTAGCAATATTCCAGCTATATGACGGCGGTCTGTAAATAATCAAGTCATGGCCAGTGATTAATATCATGAGCATCGATCCACGCAATTGGGATCGATGACATGCATCAACCAAGTCAGCGAGCCTGACCACCCGATCCCGTTAGTCACCTTTTACGACAAGAAACGGTTGCTGAAGACCTATTCTACCCCGGAATCTTCACGGGTCTCGTGACACAGGGCATGCAATCCCTACAATGGCCTCCATTCTGTAGCAGACCAGCTTTTATCATCCAAAACTGGCTCCATCAGGAGATATTACTTGGGTGAAATCAAGCGATATCTATACTGTAGATATCGCTGCAATGAAATTACATCACAATGCTTTGCAGCCCATTGTGACATCATTGGTTACCATGACATCACAATCAAATGACATCACTTATGGCTCTGCTACTGAAGCTGTTAGCAGTACTTTTTACACTTAAGACACCGCTTATTACTTTCTACAAACTGAAAAAGTTGGAAGAATGATGTTGGATGATAAATAAAATAGAGAATCTCTCCCTCATGTCTTTTGATATCAAATATATCAACACTCGTTGATAAAAGTGGAAAAAAACCCTTGGCAAACCTTGGAGTTTTTCAACTTTTATCAACTCGTGTTGATATATTTGATATCAAAAGACACTCGGGTGAGATTCTCTATTTCTGCCCAATTATCAGAAAGCATCTTCCCCACAACACCAAGTCAGTCACTGAAACATGCCTGCAATGATGACGCCTCAATCCATCCGCTCTAGAGGTACACAAGATCTCCCCTACTTAACTGTTGCTAATCACACGACAAAGGACACCTCACAGCCAGAGACCTCACAGACCGTCATTGCTAGACTCCCATTTCATCAGTAACTAGCCTGTAATCTGTGAACATCGGCTTTGTGTACTCATCGACATGTCACACAATATACTGGACTGTGAGCACATATGTACGCATCTAGGTCACTAGGCTTGTTTGTTTTGTTTGTATGTGTGTTGTTTAAGGCTGCACTCAGCAATATTCCAGCAGTATGACGGCAGACTTAATAGTTGAGTCCGACCAGACAATCCAGTGATTGACATCATGAGCATTGATCCACACAATTGTCAAACAGAAATAATAAATAAGCTTAACCTTATATATATATATATCATAAGATATCGTTCAATAACCATCAAATAGCAAATTCCTTTCAACTGATTTACCCACCTGAACTAGAAATAAAGGAGACCAGTGAGACCACCTCATCTGTTTCATATTTAGATAGATGAATAAAGATTCAGAGTGACAAAACACTCTCCACAAAACTACGACGAGAGGGATGATTCAACATTCCACTTGTCAACTTTCCCTTCAGGTCGAGCAATATTCCAGCAGCTCCAGCCTTTTGTGTTTACACTTCACAACTTTTGAGATGCAATCAAGCATGCTCTTTCTACCAAGATTTCAAAGAACGTCAGAGGAACAATTGACTTGCCTTTGCATGTGTTTGTGATGGGTGTCATAAACACATGCCCATGATATAGTCGGAATTGTACAATCGAGATTTCTACTGAATATGGTAGGGTTTTGTCACTTTTATTTACTGTTTACACATTACATGGTGTTGCCATAATTATCTTTGTGGTGAAAATGCTGCCTATTCCTTGATCAGGGAACTGTTTCACTTGAGGGAATATTACAGGGCACTTTAATCACACTTGCTGAGATCACAGTTACGTTGGTTGGTTGGTTTGTTGTTTTACGCCGCACTCAGCAATATTCCATCTATATGACAGCGTTAGAAATTGGCACTAGTCCTGTAGTCTTTGCCAAACTGCCCAATAGGTATCATAAGGACTAGTAGAAATTTGCCCTTTTTAAGGGTTTTGCTATATGTTATCATTATAAGGACCAGTGGATCAAACCTGTTAGTTTCTACCGCTGTATGACGGCAGTCTGTAAATCGTCGAGTCTGGACCAGTGAATCCAGTGATTGATATCATGGTCATCGATCCACTCAATTGGGATCGATGACAAGCTTCCACCAAGTCAGTGAGCCTGACCACCCAATCCCGTAAGTCGCCTCTTACGACATGCATGGGTTGCTGAAGACCTATAATACCCGGATCTTCACGGGTCTCGCAGTTCGGTTGATTTGTGATGCATGATCCCTGGTTGGTTGGTTCTTGTGGGGTTTTGTTCTTGTTTAATGTCACTCTTAGTAATATTCCTGATTTATGTCTGTAAAGAATGAGTGAGTGAGTGAGTATGGTTTTACGCCCCTTTTAGCAATATTCCAGCAATATCACGGCAGGGGACACCAGACATGGGCTTCACACATTGTACCCATGTCGGGAATCGAACCTCGGTCTTCGGCATGACGAGCGAACACTTTAACCACTAGGCTACCCCACCGCCCCTGTGTAAATCATGAAATGCCAGGCTGCCCTCGGGATCCACAAAATCTATAAGCTGCAGGCCCTGACTAAACTCACAGGCTTATTGTGAGTAATACATTGACATGTGAGTGAGTGAGTGAGTGAGTGAGTGAGTGAGTGAGTGAGTGAGTGATGCTGCCAACCACCAGACTGGATCATTTACAGTTTGTTTTAACACTGCTTTGAACAGTCATGCATCTCTTACACGTTTACCACGTTCATGAAGATTCCAGGGTAGAATAGGTCTTCAGCAACCCATGCTTGCCATAAAAGGTGACTTAGGGGATCGGGTGGTCAGTCTCGCTGACTTGGGTGATGCATGTCATCAATCCCAATTGCATGGGTCGATGCTCATGATATTTACAGACCGCCATCATATAGCTGGAATATTGCTGAGTGCGCGTTAAACAACAAACCAACCAACCAACAACTTTCATGCAACCCACAAGTACAGGAATGGCACTGACAAACCTAGAAACATAATCAGGGCAAATCTGGGATTCGAACCCACAATGACAGGTTTCTAGCACGCCTAGCATCTCTGCACAGCACCTTGGAAGACGGAACCACCCATGCCGTGTTCCACTGATGACTTTTAATTATCTAAAAGCTTGCAGGAAATACTTCGGCCTATAGCCAATCAATAAATCATCTGATATTGCCCTGCAAGCCCTCTAGAGACAACACCCATATCTCAGCAGTAAAGTGAGTTCAATTAATGAAAATCATTGGATTACACGTCAAGACATCCCGTCTGACACGTGACCAGCACTGTTCTGAGGTCCTGCCCAGAGTCCCATTCCACGATCGTAGCATTTTAACTGTCGTAAGTCAAAGTTAAACTGGTAAAGAGACAATTAAAAGAAGCCCATACATCTTTGTCAAATTCGAAACTGTCATTTTTATTTTTTTTGAATGCGACATTTCTGTGATTACGACATTATTCTGTCTTCCGCAACATTTAGAAAATATGGCAGGCACACCAGTAGTCCTGCACAATGACTGTGGAATATATTTATTTTATGAAAAAATAATAATCTAGAAACGCATACAAAAGCAAGTCTAGCCAGCTCTAGCTAGCTCCATACCACATCAGCACAAGGAATTTTGTTTTTATTTTTAGAGTCAAGAAGGATATTGTGTAATATCACCTGATTCTTTCATATTACAATACATGCAATAGTTAATCTCTCATGCCATGACAGATTAACATTACCAATATGAAAGAATCGGGTGATCCTTAACTTCTTTTGAGTAGTATATAAGATTACAGAGACTAAATGTTAGTCTAGCACACCAGTGAATCAGTACAATAAATACATCGTTTCACACCGCTTTAAGGAAAGTCATGGTGGGGAATACGAGGAAATAAGGTTCACACAGCTCAGCCATGAGCTGGGAATCAAACCCAGGACTTTGGTATGATGAGCTATATTTTTAACCAGAAAGCTACCCTCCCCTTCTTACACAGACAAATCCTGTCTAACACTTTACCAGAATTTATAAACCTCCACTGATGCCTTCCTATTGTTCTCCAGTCAGGTTAAATCTAATAAACAGGTGAGGTGAGGTGAGGTGAGGTGAGGTGAGGTGAGGTGAGGTGAGGTGAGGTGAGGTGAGGTGAGATGAAATTGGGTTTAACGTCGCGTCCAAGATTATTGCACTTATATAGCGGCTGCTTGTACTAGTCCGGACTGATGCCGATTTATAGTGCTAGCTCACTGAGATACCATGCCGCAGTTTAACATGAATACCCCACTCAGACACAGTATACTGACTCCGAGCCGACCAGTCCTTGTTTTAGCCCCTTAATGTCGAGCGCCAGACAGGGTAACAACAAGTACCATCTTTTAACGTCTTTTGGTATGACGCGGCCGGGGATCGAACCCCGGACCTTCCGCTCTCCGGGTGGACGCTCTATCACAAGACCACAAAGGCGGCACCTAATAAACAGGGAGGTTATAATATCCCCAGGACATTTGCAATATAATATGTTATAATGTGGCCGG